CCCCCCCCCGAGCAATATGAGTTCGTCTGACTTTATGTTCCCGCAACAGACTGCCTTTAAAATCCCGTTTGGGTAGCATATGCAATTTTAGAGGGTAATACACCTTTTTATCTAATTGCTACGAGAAAACGGCACGGGCAGTTAACGTGGTTCTGCATTACGTGCCGGTACGCTTCAAATAGGACTTTTCGTTAGTGGCTAACGGGCGATTCACATCTTCCACTTCATTTTGCCCCGCCCAACCGCGTGGGTGTGAGGTGGCACGCGCGGCGCCCATCTTGCCCGCGCTTCAGGTCTCATTACCTTCGCCTCTGTGATCGCGGTGCTGATTCACGCCGGTTTGAGAAGTCTTCCCAGCGCTTCACTTCTACATTTTCCAAGCGATGCGGAAAGGCACGCGGCACGATACCTAAATTAATTCTGTCAGCAGCGAAGTGTAAACCGTACCGGCTCTTCTGGTTTTCTTTTATAATTTGACATAAGGAAAGTGAGTCCCCCAAAAGACGAGTGTATGATGGTTGGAAGTTGAACCCCCCAAAAGCGCTGTAGTTATACTGCATCCCAGGTATGTTATAGGGAAATTAATGTAATAATATTTGAGTTACTTGCTCCCACTCTGCTACAATCATATTACCATTGTCAAAATATAAGTGATGGGTAAATAGATGGGGGTTTTTTTGACAACAGTCCAAAACATAATCACATCATAGTATCCTTAATAGCCTGCATGAGCACATGTTTAAAAATGCTGTAACTAAGTTCTTGCATTTTGCTGCTGCGTAATTTCAATTTCTTACACATATGGCACTTGAGAGTCTCAGATTATATTTTCAGCTCTGTCACCTGCTGTGGAGCCTAACACAAATGACTCCAATTCCCTTTCCAGTCTCTATCAAAGCCTATTCAGATTATAATTTTCTTGAGGGCAGAATTATCTCCTAAATGGAGATTGTAATGCTTGTCTACTGCCCTCTGGATTTGAATTAAAAGATTATATTTTCAGTTATTCTCGTTTTTTCCTAGGCATGTTTGGTTTGGATTTGCCTGTGCTGGTTACCAGAGTCAGTATGAATTTTTTGCTGTTGCAGGTTCAATCTTAACCAACTGTTACAGAATTGAAATTGAAGAAAATGTGCTTTATGACATTAAAAACCCCACAAGTTAATGTTTTTTCTCTAAGAATCAGTACTAATTTCATACTTCAGTGCAAAGATTTGTTATGTGGAGGTGTACCGGGAGGAAGAATTACATCAAAGATGTGCTTTGGCTGTTCCTGCAACATTTCACAGAATCATAGAATCATAGAATCGTCAAGGTTGGAAAAGACCCTTAAGATCATCGAGTCCAACCGTCAACCTATCACTGCCAAGTCCACCACTAAACCATGTCTTCAAGAACCGTATCTATCCGTTCTTTAAATACCTCCAGGGATGGAGACTCAACCACTTCCCTGGGCAGCCTGTTCCAATGCTTGACCACCCTCTCGGTGAAGAAGTTTTTCCTAATATCCAACCTAAACCTCCCCTGGCGCAACTTGAGGCCATTTCCTCTCGTCCTATCACTCGTTACTAGGGAGAAGAGGCCGACCCCCACCTCGCTACAACCTCCTTTCAGGTAGTTGTAGAGAGCAATAAGGTCTCCTCTCAG